GAAAAAAAATAATAATGATACTAAAAAAAGAAAAGAGATAGAAATATATTCGCTATGTTGGATATTAATTCATTACATTTGCCTCCCCTGGGGATTGAGCCCCTGCGAAATCAGTAAGGGAAAGGACTTCATTTAACTCTACCTGAGTCAGAGCTTGAGCCTCGGCTTTTAACGCATTGTAATCTTCCTTCCATAATCGTTGAAGAACGTAGGGAGTAATTTGACGAGCAACGAAAAGATAGGAAGGACCTCGGGCTTGGTACAAGAAGTAAACGCGATATGCGATGGTAAGGATATCTTGATACCTATGTGGTTCGGAACGTTTAAGAAAGTCTTTAACTTCTTTCTTCCATGCTTTCTCATTTAACAATGCTCCTACATTGTAATAATAGGGTAGCTGGCTAGGGTGGTTAATACGCCCGGGAGAAAGGCAAGTACAAGCGGAAGATAATTTTTCTTCCCAAGTTTTGCCTAAAGGAACTCTAATTTGCCGGGAATTAGGCACGTTTTGATGGAGGTCTTCTAAAAATTCAGACATCCTCTGATGCATTCTTTGCTGCTCACTTTGCCGCCTAGCGCCTTCAATGGTTAGAGCTTGCACCTGTTGTCCATCGGAGTAGCTAATACCTTGGGCTGTAACGATATAAGTACCTTCCATTTTTGCTCTTTCCATTTGAGCTTTCAAAGTCGCAAGAGTTTTCTTAATATGTTTTGGAATCTGGGGGTTAACCATTTTTTTTTTTTTTTTTTTTTTTTTTTTTTTTTAACAATGAAGTATATATTATATATATATATATATATATTTTTTTTTTATTTTTTTTTTTTTTTTTATTTTTTTTTTTTTATATTATCAACTCGAAGCTGACATGATTTTAGGAGGCTTCAAATTTTCTCCTGACGCGAATGATAGAACGACAACCGGTTTCCGTGCACTTTCTTTTTGAGCACGTGACCATCGATTGTTCTAAGCTTATACAATCCAAATGGCAACACGTCATGGATATAATAAGGTCCCAGATTCTGGGGTTGTAATTTAGCACTGTACGACATTTCAAGATCAGACCTATATAAGAGGACCTGATCGCCGATCTCATATGATTCGACTTTATTCCTTTTTTCATAGTATTCTTTTTGTTTGCTCTGTGCCTTTTTTATTCGTTTTGCAGCTAATTGTCGCGCTTCCGTGACTTTTCCCATTAATTGTTCTATTCGCCGGTATATTTGCCCTTCAAGTTCTTCTTCGGTTCCCGGCCTAGTCCAGTGAGTTATAAAACTTCTTTCAATAGGAAGAACAACATCCCGACCATATAACAAGTAAAAGGGTTCGTAACCGGTGACTCCATGGGAAGTGGTGCGATATGCAAAAAGAGCTGGGACAACACAGTCGTCCCATTCTTTTTCAAATTGATTTACAACTTTACTTAGGACTCCGCACAAGGTTCGGTTAAATCTCTCGACCAACCCGTTGGTCTGTGGATGATAAGCCGTAGAGGTATGGTGGGTAGTATTTAATTTTTTACAAAGAGCGTCAACCAATTTATTACAAAAATGTGTGCCTTGGTCTGACAATATTTCTTTAGGACTGCCGTGTCGGCAAATCAAATCTTCAAAGATAAAAGTGGCGACACTCTCAGCGTCTGCTCTCTCAAGAGCACGAGCTTCGGGCCACTTAGTAAGATACTCTGTGGCCACCACAATATAACGACTGTTTTTTGAAGTTACAGGAAGAGGCCCTACTATATCAATACCGATTCGGTCGAAGGGCTTCCCTATTTTGATGGGATATAGAGGTTCGCAAGTATTTGGTTTCTTTTTCTTTTGGCAGATATCACAAGTCCTAATATAATTTCGTATATCTTCACCCATTTGGGGCCAGTAGTAGCGGACGGCAATTCGTTGGTAAGTAGAATGAAATCCAAAATGTCCCGAAAGAGGATTATCATGAAAACTGAATAGGATAATATTAACTTCTTCCTTTTTTATTATCCTTAGGGGACGTGACGACTCTTTCAAATTTCTTTTATATAAGAGCCCTTCTATAACTACATAATGGCGGATCTTATGCTTTAAGGCTTGAATTTCTTTAGCACTAAAGCGTGGAGGAACTTGAGCACTTATTAAGTATTGTAGGTATAAATCATATATTTCCGGTTCCATATTTGAAAATTTGCTATTTATATAAAAAGAGATCTAATTTTAAGAGGAAACTAATTAAAATGCCAGGACACCGAAACCTGGGCTGGATTAACAGATTTGTAAAGGGAAGCTTAAATTAAAATTTTTTTTTTTTTTTTTTTTTTTTTACTTATACTTTTGTTTGAAAGGAGATATTTAGGGTATAAAGATTTTATGTGTGACTATCAGTTAAATGCGAGATAAACTATCGACGTTAGTGTGATTTTTGCCGGACTTATGTACCGTAGTAAAAGAATACTCCATGAGAGTCATAATCCATCGGGCGAGACGATTTTGAGGGAGTTTAATTTCGAATAAATACTTTAAAGCGGTATGATCGGTATAAAGAAGAAAACGGCTACCATGTAGGTAAGGACGGAAATAACCTACAGCCCATACAACTGCTAGGCATTCTTTTTCAGTTACTGAATAGTTTTTTTCTGCGGGTGTAAGACTTCGACTAGCATAAGAAATCACACGTTCGTGACCCTCTTCATTTTTTTGTGACAAGATAGCTCCAAGAGCTATATCCGAAGCATCGGTGAAGAGAATGAAAGTCTTTAAAAAATCGGGGTAAGCTAGAACCGGAGCGGTAACTAACTTTCCTTTTAAGCTTTCAAAAGCTTGTTGCTGTAGATTCGTCCACTTATAGTTAATATTTTTCTTTAACAGTTGGTTAAGAGGAGCGGCTAAGTAAGTAAAATTCTTAATAAATTTTCGGTAATAGGAAGCCAACCCTAAAAACCCTCTTAATTGTCGTAAATTTTTCGGTATAGGAAAATTTTTAACGGCTTCTACCTTCACAGGATCGGTAGCTATACCTTGTTTATTAATTATGTGCCCTAAAAATTTTAATTCTTGTTGCTCGAAATAGCACTTGGAGGGCTTTAGTTTAAGACCAGCCTACTCAAGTCGATCAAAAACCAATGTTAAATGATTTAGATGTTCATCAAAAGTCTTAGAATACACATTGATGTCATCCAAATAGACTACAACACATTTCCCAATTAAATCTTGAAAGAGGTAGTTCATCAACCGCTGGAACGTGGCCGGGGCATTTGTTAGCCCAAAGGGCATAACATTAAACGCATACGTCCCGAAGGGCGTAGTAAAGGCAGTTTTAATTTTATCCTCTTCTTCTATCTCGACTTGCCAGTATCCACTGGCTAAGTCGAGAGAACTGTACCAAGAGGAATCGCTTAGCGCATCCAATAAATCTTGAATACGAGGTAAGGGATAGTTATCCTTTTGTGTAACGGAATTAAGCTTACGATAGTCCACACAAAAACGCGTTGTCCCATCTTGTTTTGGTACTAAGACCACTGGGGAAGTCCAAGGACTTCCACAGGGGTATATTATTCCCTCTTTCATCATTACAGCTATTTCATCCTTAATTATTCTTCTTTCAGCCGGAGAATACCAGTAGGGGTGCTTCTTTATGGGCAAAGCGTCCCCAGTATTAATTCGATGCCTAACTAAATTAGTACATCCTAATTTTCCACCCTCCCAGGTGAATAACCCTGTCTTCCTATTTAAGAAACTTTGGAATCGAGCATTTTGATTGCTATCTAAATTCCCCAGATGATAAGTATTTCTCTTTTCACTTTCTTCCCCAAAATAGTACTCGAATAAATCTCTAATGGGCCTTTCTCTTTCCTCTTTAGCTTCCCCTGTCGAAATGAAGCTACGCACATCTCTCCTATCTTCTTTTCCGCGAAGATACGCGTTACCAGCAAGGTCATATCGACACCTAACGATGGAAGGTTTATTTTTTTCTTTTCTTACTCTAAGCTGCCTCCTTATTTCATCTATCACGTCATCTATGTCTGAATCATAAATATTAAACTTATACTCTGGACCTTTGCTTTCCCAGGCAGTTTCATACCACTCGAAACTCGAATCCCTAGACTCATCCGAGTCGCTCCCCAGAAAGATTAAAGGGGGATTGCCATTAGGGGCACTAAGAAAAGGGGAGATCAGTCTATTATGATGGGTAGGGAAGCTATCATCTTTAGTTTTAAGAGATAGGAGGGGCAGAATTTTAGGGGCAGGATTAACGGTAGGAAGATTTATGTTGGGATCGCCTATAAACTGGGTCGCCCGCTTATCAAAATAATTTATTCCTACTGTGATTGGAGACGTAGATGACTCCAATGAGTCAAAGAAAGAATCTTCTTCCTCAACACCGGAGTAATTATAAGTTCTTTCTTCTAATTCTTCATCTTCATACTCATCATCGCCACTCGTGTCATATTCTGTTTCTTCTTCGTTTAGGTTACGAATTTTAGCTGGTCGGTTTCTACTCAAGGGCTCAGGGGTGAGTTTTTTAAATTCTACTGGAACTATTATTTCTTTATCGTTCCAAGTAAATGTCATTTCCGAAGTTGTCCAATCAATCTTAGCTTTAATTTTAGACAACCAGTCGTTACCGACTATAGCATGATAGGAGTTAGCGTCGGTGACGACAACGTCAATAGGAATTTCTAGGCCGGCAACAGCAAAGGGGAAATCAGAGATTTCCCCGAGGGCCCGTTTACTTTCCCCATGGACATTGACCATATTAATGGTAGAGGGGCGCTCAACCTTAATGCCGAGATCTCGCAGCAAATGGGAAGAAACAACGCTACCAGAGGACCCACTATCTACTATTAGAGGGACCTCTAGCCCAAGAATAGTGGCGTCGCAATACAGGGCGGTTGATTTACTATTGGATGTTATACTAATGTTGGTTCTTATTTTTCTTTTTGGAAGAACCTTCTTCTTGTGTAGGCTTCGAATAAGTTCAGTACGCATAACGGGAACCGCTCGCAGTAATTGACCAATAGTAATGTTTGCTAGTTTGTCCCTTAAATCAGTTATAATTGAATAAGGAGGGACCAACGAAGAAATCTGTGGCATCTCATCTTCGAGGACCTTCCGCCTAACTACAGGAACACGCTTGGGCTTAGTTGGAGAAGCTTTAAGAGGGTTATCTGGAACCTTCTCTTTAACTAATTTATTATTTTTTTCTTTTTCTTTTTCTAATAAAATCTCTAGTGGTTCTTCTTCTCCGGATTCTAAATCACCAACTTCTTCTCGTGGACGTTTATAGCGACGCGTAGTACTAATAGACGATTTATCTTCCTGCGTTCCAACAGCGAATATTGCCACATCCTCCACAGGTATATTTAGGAAGGTAGGTTGACTATTTGGAGGATTTTGATTTTCAATATTATTTTGTTGATTAGGGGTCAAACTAGCAGCCATTGCTAATAAGGTTTGCAACGCCTCCTGCTGTTGGGTTTCCGAAGCACTATTCAAACCAGGACTAATGTTACTATTATTATTAGTAGGTGCGACATTGGAACTAGCAAACCTAGGAGGGTTTTGAGGTCCGATATTAGGGTAAGGGTACACTACGGGAGTTGGGACGGGTCCAGGGTTATACATTTGACCCGTAGGGAGATAATTTTGGGGGGTGTTAGGTGGGGGGTTAGGGGCAGTAGGGGGCACGACAATTTCTACTAATATGCCCTGGTCTCCCACACTTATAACATACTATTCTATTTGGGTTATTCGAGGTAGATGGACGTCGCTCCTGGAATTGAGTTAACATTTTATTAACTGCTTCGGTTAGTTTCTCTATAGCAGATTCGGAGGATGTAACAGAAGGTTGAAAACCAACGGGGGTATTTGCAGGCGACTGGGAAGAATATAAAATACTCATGGGAGTGGGAAGATACGGAAGGTTTTGTTTACAAGCACCTTCATACGCCTTAGCACGGTCGTAGGCCGCTTGTAATGTATTAGGGGTAAAAGGGGCGACAGCTAACCCAACATCGGGTCTTAACCCGTTAAGAAAGAGTTGGGCCTTAGCTGTCTCGGGATAAGGCTGGGCCCCGGTCTCTACCCGTCGAAACAGCTCTTGAATCGCGGTATGGTAGGCATCAACATCTTCATCTGCCTGCTGCTTCCTAGTTGCTAATTGGGCAAACCATTTACCTTCTAAGGCAGGGGTACGAAATTGGATGATAAAGTGGGGACGAAAACTTCTGTTAGGTTGGGCCGGATCGTCCCAAGTATTAATAGGGTTAGGTGGTCGTTGGGTAGTTGCCCACCAAGTGGCTGCTGGGCCCTTTAGATGTGGGACGATTACAGGAATACGGCGATCATTACCAACCAAATTAGCGGCGAATGCTTTCTCAACCTCATCTAACCAAGATACAGGATCCTGATCTCCTCCTGTAAAATCTGGATAAACTACCAAGTTTAACTCTCGATTCGGAGCGTTATAATTGACCTGGGGCGCAGGAGCTATCTGCATTTGCTGGATTAGCATGCCGATTTGCGCTGCCAAATTATCAATAGCATTGGGATGCTGGGGTGGTTGAGGTTGTTGAAGCGGATTAGGTTGCTGAGCCGGGTTGGGTTGTTGCGCAGGATTAGGCTGTTGCGGCGGTTGTGCAGGGTTACCTAAAGCGGGTCGCGGCGGAGGAACAACGGGATTACCTTGCTGCGGCGGATTACGTTGAGCCATAATTCAACTTAATCTAATTTTAAGTAACTTATAATTGGGAGATTTGTATGTGACTATTACTAACTAATTCAATTTATTTATTAGGGGGTTATCTTATTCAATCCACACAACTGGCACCAAATGTAACGGTTGAATGAGAGAGCGGGATACAATTATAGACTATAGTGCCAATTTAAACTCCAACCGTGTACGGGAATGGATGTTGATATAACAA